TTCCGAGTGCACTTCGTTGATATTACAGACGTGTGATTTTGCGAGAAATCGCAGGAGACGTGCGACGAGAAGTTCGCCAGGGGGGCGTCTCTTTCGGGTGTCCGAAGACAGACACGCCGCGCTACTTAAACTACGAGCGGCGTCGCGTGCGCTGTTTAGATTGGACCCGCACTGAAAACGATTCGTCAAAGTTTATCATCGGATCCAGCGTGGGCTCGCACTTGCCACGTACTCCAGCACCAACACTCATCGTTGACGAGCTTATCTCGATCCTCAGGAAGCCGCCCGCGTTGATTCGCGCCGCGCGTGTATTTTTGCACGCGCTCACGAACTAATCGCCGGGGGCGGCCGACGGCAAGGCCGGTGCCATCGAGTTTCAGTCCGTTTCAGCCACTGCGTTTTCTCGCCACTTTGACGACCTCGCATGCAAGTTGACGCTATCGCAAGAAAACAAGGAACGAACTTAGGCCGAAGAAGCAATCGCGATATTATTTTAGATTTCAGTATCTTTAGATTCCCATCGTCCCGCGAAGAAGAGAGCGGAGACGGCGATTTAACCGTAAGTAGAAGCAGATTAAAATTTCGATTGCAATTGGAATTTACTTAGAAAGCGACAGTTAATCAATCTCTTTCACTCATCAACAGCTGGTCATAAAGAACGAAATTCGACATCAAGAATCTAGAAAAGAACTTTGCGCTTCTGAGGTTGCATAAAGCACAAATTACAATATTACAATTAACAGTAACATTGTATCAATCTTATGGTTCCCTACTCAACAATTTCATTGCAGTATAACATATGATTTGTATAACAGTTATATGATCGAATGAGAAGTTACAATATTAATGTAATGTAGTTAGTGCTTACTGACATCACATTTCTCTCGTCACAAATCCCAATCACCATAAATTAACAGTGACATTACATCAATGCTATAACTCTCCACTGAACAATTTCATTGCAGTAAAACATATGATTTATGCAGCAGTTATGTTATCTAGTGAGAAGTTATAGCATTGATGTAACGTCGCTGTTAGTTGGCGTTCACTGGCACTACATTTCTCTCGTCAGCGAACGGCGAGCTCTCTTAATTCATCTCACGGGAAAATTAATAATAAATCACCATCACACGCCGTTGCCGGGGGCTAGATCGCTGCGACTTCCTGACTGCTCCTCCCATTATATTTTAGTTCGTATTTACTCAGGACAAGGTGTGTTAACGCGAGCCACCTCTCGGCGCGATTCGTTTATCATTTTTGGCGAGCGTCGCCGCAGGAGCATTAACATTCTCTAACGTTGCATGAACGACCGTTCGTGCTTGCTTGCTTGCTTGCTTACGTGCGTGCGTGCGAGGTACTTGCGTGAGCGCAGCTTCATTTATGCGCACACACGCGCGCGCTCAGCCAATTTATATTTATGATGTATCGGGCCTCGATGACACAGCGACTGGCTATGCTGGTCTCGAATCAGCCGAGAGACGACCAGGAAGAAAGGAAGAGAGAGAGAAAGAGGAGATAGACGGCAATAGACAGAGGGACAGCCGTTCAATGGCAGCAGGAGAGAAAGGAGCAAGGAGAGAAGACAGAGGAGAGGAGAGACGAGAGAAAGAGAGCCGAGAAGTGAGAAGAGAGGCAGTGGAAAACACCCACGGAATGTAAAACGGTCCGGCCGCTGGTGCCTTTGTGGGTTACTACACATCACTTCCGTTCAACTTGATTGCGCGAGAATGAAGGATTCGCGACGCCGATAAGTCGCACAGTGTCGAGAGGACATAATCGCGCGGATAAGATGAAACATCCAATTATCGACATTCCCTTAGCCATTGACACTCCAGGAAGAAAATCCTGATTTTACATGCGATCAGCATTGCAGTTAAACCTCTTGCCCGCACTCAATTATCTCCAAAAGAGAACTTGACAACTGAAACTGTGAACAACCTCTACTGACCGCGAGAAAAACCAGACTTTTCTAAAGTGTCAACGACTAAGAGGGACCAATAATTTCGGTGTTTCACTCTACTGTCTTTTTGGGGAAATAAATGGGTATAGTCGCGTGTGAAGAAGTTTCCTCGATGGAAACCAAAAGAGACGGCAATATCTTGAATACACGTTCTTCTCTCTGTGCCTTGAGCTTTTCAGTAATCGAGAGAAGAAAGTAATCAAATTTTGACCGCAAGTCATTAGTTGCTCAGTCCATTCCTCCATTCGCTGGCGGACCGCCACGTGTCGTTCGTTTCTCTCACGCGGCTTGCTCGAAATGACACGCGTCCCATCCTAAGCACCATTCGCGGACATTGCCTTCCTCGGGATAATAATTCCTACGTCCCGCCGTCTCGCGCCTAATACGAGATCCAGCTTTGACCCACTTGAGCGTCTCGGCAGAAAAGAAGGTGCCCGTCGAGATGCGGGGAACCCCCTTTGTTCATCGAGTTGTTCTCCAGACACGAGTCGCCCGCATTCCTTTCACGGGCACGACGAAAAAAAGCAGACCCCTTCCGCGTGGAAAAAAGGAGTAATAAGGTGAATTTACAAGTGAACGCGGCTGTAACACAGCCGGCCGGCTGCACCGAGCAGGCCCCGGCAACATCTGGAAATGCGATTTGATCCCGAAAAATCGCCCGCGCTTCACCGTTGCCGACAGTTGAGAATTAATCCGGGACGGGAATGGCGCGTTTGAAGTTTCATTCGGCTCGAGAGATCTTTGAAGCCTCCTTGAATTCGAGGAGCGTTTACGACACGGTACAAAAGTTGTTACTGCAGGATTTAATTAAACGCGAAATTTAAATATAAAAATGCGCCACCAAATACTAATTTCAGACTTGAGTCGCGCGCGGTTCGCTGAGATCTCCAAGTCTCAGCATTTTAGAAGCGTCCTCATTGTGGTAGATGTATTATAAACATCGAATGTAGCTGCAAGAGTATTTTAAATGTACAAATTAATTTGCGTGCATTCAAATTGGGAATTGCTGTAGAGAGATGATCGCGTGATCACGATGCCACGACGGCCTCGATTGACACGACGGGACACTTTTCCATTCATTTCGGGTTACACGGGAGTAATGCGAGACACTCCTGCGTAAACAGAGTGCACCGTTGCAGAGCGTCGCGCAAAACATTCTTGCTCGCGAGCATCTCATTTCACTGACCGGCGAGAAAAATCAAATTGCTCGGCACACACGCGACGGAACTCACTAAACTGAAAACCACCTCCGCAATTTGAACCGCGAATTAATTTTCGCTGCCTCAATATTCATATCATAGCCTGCTGTTCTCGAAAAGCGTGACTCCGACGAGCGAACTGCACCGTGTCGATTAATTGTCGCTCGTGAATTTCCGCCATCGCGACGTTGTCGTTCGCGAGGCAACTTTTCTCAAAATGAGAAAAGACTCTGGCCGAAATTCCGGAGAACAATGAGCAAAAAATAGATAACACTTGTCGATTGGGCTGCGAGTTGAAGCCTGAAGTAACGCGAGCTTTAATCAACGGGCGTGTCGTCGCCTTCGTTACACCGTAATTTGTAGCAATTTAGTGGGTGCGCCGGTCGAAATTAATATTAACGATCACGAGAGCACGTCAGGGCGCGCGTTTCCGTGAGGACCGGGACGGAAAGGGCCTCAGAAGAAATTCGAGGGCACCGTGGAGATGCATAATTCATAAATCGCCTGGGCCCATGCGATTACGGCGCTCCCCGATCGCATCGTGATGTAAACACTCGTAAGTCGATGCAATTGGCGAAGGGTGCACTCGTGAGCGCGAGAATGAAGGAAGAAACGCTTGCGGTCGCGACGATTTACGCGAGACGGGAACTCTTTTGCGCTGCCATCGTGGGATAGTCCCGTGAAGCCTCTTCGCCTTCACGGGAAGAAACTCAATCGTAGATCTTCCCGGCGAACGTTTCGCTGAAGATCTCTATTATTCAACGCCTTGCTCGCAGAAAACGGAATCAGTCGAGGAACCGTGACGGAAATTAATAACTCGTCTCTTGTTTCACTTTTGATATCGTGTAGGTTTTTTGAAAAATAAAATTCGTGTCAGTTGCAGTTGAAATAATTAAAACAAATATTGCGGAAATATCGAATTTTACCTTCTGAAAATCTCGCGGAAATTTCGCATGCAATGTGATGCAAAATCACAGCGGTCGAGAAAAAATCAGTAGAGAAACCGCGACAGAAATTAATAGGTCGCCTCTTGTTTAAATAAAACTCGTGTCAATTTCAGTTGAAGTAATTAAAACAAACGCGGAAATATTGTATGTTACCACCTGAAAATCTCGCGGAAATTTCGCATGCAATGTGTTGCACGCGAAATTCAGTAAAATTAGTTGAGAAACCGCGACAGAAATTAATAGCTCGCCTCTTGTTTCACTTTTAACCGTGCACGTTTTCAAAATAAGGCTCGCATCGATTTTATTTGAAATTATCAAAACAAACATAAAGATATGTTGAATTTTATTGTCTAGAGATCTCACGGAAATTTCGCAAGCAACGCGTTGCTTACGAATAAAATCAGTCGAGTAAAACCGTGACGGAAATTAATGGTGAAAACAAATCAATAACTCATCACTCGTCTCATCTTGTAAGTTTTCGATTGAAATTTGTGATGATTTTATTTAAAATATCAGTGCATAATTTTCCTCTTTTCCATCAACGTATCGGGTTACCCGGGTACTTAAATGTTATCGAAACAACGTTATAGTATCTGTTAAGAGTCTATAATATAAATTTTCATATTCCAAATTTCGAACATTCTTTTCTGTTGCATTCTACAGGGTCTTCGAGCAACAAAGGCTCTTTGTATATCTACTCCGCGCCGGTAATGTTTTAACACGTTCGACGGCTTGCGGGATAATTCGAAATTGATATCCGCGTGTTGACAGAAAGATTAAAATAATCAAAACCACAATGGCATCGAGTCTTCCTAACCGACAGTCTCGCGGATGTTTCGCAACACGTGTTGCTCGTGAATAAAATCTGTTGGGAAAATTGATCTCGTCGCTTACCTTGCTTTGGATACAGCAACCTTTTAGAGAAAGGAGATCGCCATCTTCGTTCTGGTGAGCGATGTTCCCTATAATAGTACTCAGTCGAAATTAGAAATAAAAACGCCACTACACACGGTGGCAGAGTACGACGCACACCTAATCGCCGATCGTGTCCGTTCGCGAGAGAGAAACACATCCACCTCACGTGCGGCTCGCTGGACGCGCGAAGCGAGACTGAGGAACGCGCGGCGTGGGTCGTACCGGCACTGTAACGAGACGCAAACTCGTCAACCATCGTGTGCAAGCGACGGTGGAGTTATCATTTCAAGGATGTTGGAGTGATTCGCGTATATTCGATCGACTTGACCATTACTGAACCCTTTACTAACGTGTGTCGGAACATTCCCGACAAAATACCTTTACTCGGATGCGTCTCGAAAACATTCCGACCTCTTTATTTATTCCGTGACTAATTTTGTCACTATTTATTTGACGTTTCGAGTCACGATCTCTTTTCGTGTAAAATATGACTCAAACGTACATTTGAAACTATTATCTTTTATGATGAGACTGAGGCGATAACTATATCACCATCTGGAGTATCTTCGAAATATGAGAGTAGGAAAAAAATAAGTACAAAGATATAATGTTTTATTTAAATAAACGAGTTAATTTCTTCCCTACATCCATATCTCGAAGATATATTCAAGGTGTTGCTAAAACCGATTATTGCTACTATTTTTTAACAAGTTACAGAATTAAACAAACAAGATTTTTAAATATGTCAAAGATGGCTTTGAAATCCTTACTTGCTTGACTCTGAAATCTCTTAAAGAACAGTAGAAATAATTGATTTTGCCAATCTACCCCGGTAACCAACTAGCCTCGGTCTCACATGGTGTTATATTGCAAAGGGTTAAATTCCGCCGCCGCGAAAAGTCGAAATACATTCGATCGCGTCTGATGTATGCAGTCTTTTTTTCATGTGGACAACGTAAACTGCACGAGGAATAGTGTAAATTATATCTTAAAATATATATACAGAAAAGAGTAATTAAATGATGAGACAATTTCAATATCTGTTTTCATATCACTTATGAATGTAATGTTTAGAAAAAATAACAAACATGAAACTTTTATTTCACGTTTATTTCAAAACATTTTATTTTATTTTATTTTATTAGATTAGTAGATTAGTAGATTTAATTCTGAAAGTAAGAATGTTACCAGAGAATACATAGCGACCGTGAGAGCTTTCTACAACGAGACCACCTTCTCCCTTCCCCAGCAGAGGCTAGGGAATTATAATTCTAATTTCGTTTCTTTCCCCCTTCCCCCTGTTCCACCTCAATTGATCATTCCCGCCACGTGCGCGATCGATCGAACGCAACTGTCCTTAGTCCTAACAGCGCGATGTGTCATCAGTCGTGCCCGTCTTTGTATGGGCGTTCGCAGCGGCGTTAGAATCGACACAAATCATTTCTGTGATCGTCATCTCCCGCAGTAATTACAGATTTTAATCCCATAAGTTAGCCCCTAGGCCCGTCGTTATCGCGATGCCGCCCGCTGCTCTCAGAGTAGACCGGCGCGACACTTTTTCCAAGGGCTTTTGTCCATTTCCCCGATTGCTCTGTTCCTAAAGGCTAGCCACCCCTATGTTGTCCCAGAGCGTCGAATTACGTCTCATCCACAGCGGGAAAAGCTGACGGAGGCGCCAAAGTGCTTTATGAATTTATGACGCGTGTCGACGAGTCGAGGGTCAACGTTTCGCTACGCGGCCCGTGAAGTTCCGCTTACTCTGGCTCGTTATACATAGTATCTCGTAAAGTACTCCCGGTTCGTTGATCTTACCTCAATATCTGTTATCATACGCGTGAAACGATGAAAAGAATTTCTGCCTTTGGTTCCAGTGCAGCTGGAAAACACAAACTTCGTACAAACTTCGTTGCGTACCAATCTTCCGGATATTACCCGGATATCCAGGTGTCTCTCAAATTATATATACTCGAATATCTTTCAAATCAGTTGCGTATTCAGGTTCTTGGGCATCCGAGTAGTTCGTGGTTCGGAAATGAAAAAAGTTTTTTAACGACATACGCACCAAGATCGTGCATTTACGCGTAAATTATGATACTCTACGTCTACATTTAGGCAATGTAAACTATGTATGTCATCTATGTAAACAATGAGTAACTAACGGATTTTGTTTAAAGAATGTGTGGCTTGCTCAACAATCAGTTAACGAAATTTTTTTATTTTGATTTAACCTTTATTTAACTTCATTTATATTTTTACTAAACCTCTTTAAGATCTTAATGCATGATTTATGAACGTTTCCTAAATAAGTTAGAGAGTCCGCAGAATTCTCTGGTGATATTCTTATTTTCAGAGTTAAATCTACCAATTTGTCACACAATAAAATAAAAATTGCATATAATTTGTTTATTATTTCTGAGCGTTATATTTATAAGTGATATCCAAAACAGATACTGTAACTGTCTCCTAATTTAATTACTCTTTTCTGTATATATATATATATATATATATATATATATATATTTTTTTTTTTTTTATTTTAAGATATAATTTACACTATTCTCCGTGTAGTTTACATTGTCCACATAAAAAAGAACTATTATACATCACGTAAACAATATGTAGACGATCCGCGTAGACGAAATTCATGACACAACTTTGATACGTATGCTTAATCTCTTTGCGCTTTTCCTACGATAAACTTCTCGTGTCGATTTGAAAAAACCGCGCTGACCGTTGTTACCAATCTCTGTCACGCGACCATCCACCGTTCCATCAGTGTAAGGCTGCGTTCGGAACACACACTGTGTGCACACTACTAGACGATAGTTGGAGTGAGCGAAATACAAAAGTGCGATAAAAAGAGAGGAAGAGTACTCGAATGACGTTTCCGAACGCAGTCTGTGTTGTTGTTGCTGGTGTGGAACTAAGTCTATAAATCAAAAAGTCCGAAGATGTAAAAAATAAAAATTCACTGAAAATAATTGATATTTAGAGGGTCCTGCGAATACTACAGAAAAATTTATCCACAAGTAGGAAAGCCTCATCGGAGTCTCCAAAAATTTGCCACGTTTCAACAGGCCAGCCGACGTCTGCGCGGATCAGGCCAATCCGTAACAGATCAGATTCCCTAGCATGAAGCGGGCATTCAAATAAAAAAAGGGATCAATTGTCTCAGTTTCTCCATATTCACACAATGGAGAATTTACGGTATTTTTTATAGAAATGCTGTGCAATGTGAACATGAAACGTTCTCAATCTGGAAATTGTTGAAATAATACGTCTTAGAAGGTGGTTCTCATCAGTGTATAAGTGACAGGTTAGGCGACAATTTCCCGAAAAGTAGAGGGGATAATGTTGGTACTAAAGAAAATCTCTACGCGATATAATTTAATGATCTGTTCTTTGTAAGTGCACTGCTGAACTAATGCAAAAGGTTAGAGTGAGAAGAAACTTGTCTCCCTTCAATTTATTGCACCAGTTCAGCAGGCTAACCTAAGTGACATCTGTGTGGTGTGTATCGGCCAGTTATGTGTTGATCTTATTTTATTCTCCGCACCCACAGCGCGAACATCGTGAGTGCTTCGAAATACCCACCCTAATAGCACGCAATGTTCAGGGAACGTCCAGTGGATATCCATAGAACATAAAATGTTTTCTGGATGTTCTCTGGACGTCTTTTGAACATGCGTGCTATTAGGGCAGAATTGGGTCGAGTTGAGTTAGTTCCACTATAGTATATGTAACGGATACTATAGTGGAACTCAACTTGACCCAACCCTGAACATTTCGGAAACACCCTGTGTGACCTTGCACGTGCCCGGGGAAAGTTCGCGCCGCTTTCCCGACACGTCATCGCGAAAAATTTCTCTTCTCCGCAAACCACTCTAATTTCAAGTTTTATTTCAATCAGGTGAATCAATATCGCATGAACTCTGTGACGTAATTATACACCGCATGCACATTTAGATAAAACGCGATAATAACGTTACGATCACCGCCGTGGTGTCATCAGCCGGAAGTCACGTGTGAGAGTCACGTGTGAGAGTCACGTGGCGCGATTTTCGAAATGTACGAGAACCTGCTTAAGAACCCGCTGCACCGGGTGTTTGTGTACGGCACACTAAAACGGGGAGAACCCAACCACGGCGTCATAAAGGATGTCGCGAACGGCTACGCAAAATTTCTAGGTATTGGCAAGACGACGATCTCGTATCCCCTGGTGATCGCCACCAGGTACAACATCCCGTTCCTGTTGAAGAAACCCAACGTCGGCAATGTAAGTATAAAGCGCGCTTTGAAATGTTTTGTAGTTTTCTTTAAAAGAATTCCGCAAAATGGTCGATTTTGCGGCTTTTTCTTGAGCGAATTCTCTCCTTTAATATTTAATTCAACATATTACTTCATATATTATATTATAATAATAATTATAATATTAATATTCCGTTACATTACGTGAATGTAACGGTTATGTATTTGTGTGTGCTGGAATAGCACGTGCAAGGAGAAATATATGACGTGGATTCCACGATGCTGAAGAGATTGGACGAGCTGGAGGAGCATCCTACCTTTTACGAGCGCACCGAAGAAGAAATTTTATTAGCCTCGGAAGCTGCACTCAAGCCTGGGGAAAGTTTCGAGGAGGTAATTGGAGGAGATCGTGCAGGAGGCAGAGGGTAATCATTGAACCATTTTCGTTATTTCACCTTTCGTCGGATCTTCTCTCATCTTTCAGGTCAGCGAGCTGACGAAAGCGTGGATATATTTCCTACCAAGATACAATCCTTCGCTGTTGGACAGCCCCATGTACGTGTCTTACAGCAACAGCGGAAAACACGGGCTGAAATATTGCGAGAAGTATGTTCGCGACCCGTCCCATGATCACAGAAAGGAAGTACAGTGAAATCATTGCCGGCACGTAGCTTTTATCTCGTTGCAGCGAGCAGGACTCGTCAAGCATCGACGACGTTCTTTGAACACTTCGTTGGACTTACGGAACTATTTTTACGGAGAATTAATACTTCGTCTCACAAGTGCGCTCCGGAAGAGTCGTTCCTGCACAATAATGATTTTATTTCGGCAATAACGATTTGATTGCTGTAGCGGACCAATAAAAAGCGGATCTGAGTCCAAGTGAAGAGCCGATAAACAATCTGGTCTGAAAAGGACTCTGATCACAGACTAACCGTCAGTTTGCAAGGTTGTCTTGTTGCATGATAATAATGTAAGAACGACACATCTACAATTTTACTCTTAACAATCTACGTCGAGTTTAACTCGACATTGCATTTTCCCGCGATTATTAGGACCTTAACTTAGTTTCCGCCCAAAAAATACTGAGAAAAAGCATTTATTGTAAAAAATTTATTTAAATTATTTCAATGAAAGTATTTTCCATCACTTTCTACAACTTTTTGCCATCTTTCTGGCAACTGGGCGATACCATCTCGATAAAACGATGTTTGTTTCGAAGCAATCCATTCGTCCACCCATTCTCGCACTTCTTCAACATTTCGGAAGCGTGTACCACT